ATACTTCAAGCATCAAATGAACCCATCCCTAAAATACTAAACCTTGCAGCTTCCTCTTTGGGGAAGCATTCCTTTAACAGCATGGAGACAGGCAGTTAGTATGAAGGTGCCTAAATTGAATAAGAAAAATAAAATCAGTGATGATGTTAACAGTTTTGATGCTGGGATGGCAGATAGAAGGAAGAGCCAGTGTTCTTAGCTACAGTATGTTGTAATTGTGAGATAGTGTTCAATATCATGCTGTCCAGGCTCTTGATTTTTATAGCTAACATGGACTTTAACCTAGAGAAATATTTTGGAAGCCTTATTTAATAGTTAGACCATGACAAAGTCATGGGCCAAGTACAGAGGGCAAGGGCCTGACAGGCTTTCCTTGAGCAGAGTGTTATCTCTTGTTTGCTGGAGATGTTAGAATCAGAAATGGGATTTGGAGCTCATGTTCTGGTTTGTAACCCTCTAAGGTCTAGGGAAGTTTGGATCTGGATTCAGAGCTTCACAGCTTGGGCCCATCATTCCTGCCTGCTGGTGGGATGACTTGGTTTAAGGAGGGTTTATGGGGTCAGCCTCTTCAAAAGAGGAGGAAGACATTTCAGTAGAAAGTTGTTTAGCAGAGGAAAGGGCTGATTACGAATAGGGGACAAACAAGGTAGGGGAAGTTCCTTCCAAAGGATTGTTACACTCAGCTGGAAGAGTTCAGATCACTGGTACAACCTAGATGTCAGAAGAGATTTTTTTTTGTGTGTGTGTGTGTGTGTGTGTGTGTCTAAGATCCACACTTTTTAACCTGCAATTCCTAAACCAATAAATCACTGGCGGATGGCAGGTGGCCATGTTACTTTACTTTCCATGTGCTTACCCCAGTGGTAAATTTGACCACATGGAGGTCAAATAACTTAAGTGATGCTGCAGCCTCTTTGGCTTTCCAGTAATGTTGGAGTGTTTTAATTTGGTTTCAAAAGAGCAAAAATGTGGCATTGTGCCAGGTTCATGTGTCACTGATGCTGCATGCTTTATGAGCAATCAGCTCACATCAACGAGAACAGGTGTGGGCTATGCAAAAGGGCAGGTAAAGGTCTCTCTCCTTCTGGCAGTAGGTTATTCCAATGCAGCCTTAGATCCTGATTCATTAACTAGGTGTGTGCCATTTCTGTGAGCTTCACAATGAAGCTACAGTAATGATGGGATACATTTTATGGTATTTTTTCTTAGAGATCTCCTTTTCTACACCTGACGGCCATCAACTAAAATGTTGCCATCAAATCTAAGGGTAGTATACATTCCGAAGAAAGGGAGAAATATCGGACAATAGGCTCAATCCTGCTTCCACTAGGATTTTTACTGTTGAATACAATGAGAGCCAGATGATACCCTAGCACTCAAAAATAGCTTTGCAGGAACTAAGCTCATTAACGTGAGCTAGGTCCCTTTGCTATTAATTCCGCTCCTCCCCATTGCATCAACCTTCTTTTAGCTGAGGACGGCTGAACAGGATTATCTGCAGAGCCCATTAAATGCTGCTCGTAGATTGGCGGAGGGCTAGCTGCAGGAGGACAAGGTGCCAAGAGGGAGCAGGCTGCTTGTGCAGCACTCCCACCCACAAAGATTGGACCTGGGTCTTCATCATGGTAATGCAGAGTTCTAACCTGCAAATAGCCCAGTCTGTTGCTGTTTTATGCATAAAAGCTTGAGATGGAAAAGACCTATTGGGTCACCTAGATTAACCCTGCTCAGTGCAGGGCTGTTCCCTGTTGTTATTTATATTCTGGCAACTTCTAGAAGCCCAAACTGAGATCAAGGCCTCACTATACAGAGTAAGAGAGGGTCCCTGCCGTGAAAAGTTTACAGTCTAATTAGACAAGACAGACAAAGGATTGCAGGGGAAATAAAGGCACAGAGAGAAGACATGATGCATCCAAGGCCACGCAGCAGGTCAGTGAACAGAACCACGTCTCTGGACTACCAACCCAGTTCCCTGACTCACGCTGCCTTTCTACACTTACTACTGTTACATCCAATCTGGATTTAAAATGTGGTGGGGTCCCCCACTTCCTCTGGGAGATTATCCCATAGGACAACAGAGCTCACTGTCCAGAATTCTCTCCTGATATTCAACCTAAATTTGACCTTCCTTACTACCTACCTTGCAGCTGCTAGTTATATGTCCTTTTAGCATGCTAATTATTTCCTCTCCAGTCTCGGTGTTTACATCCTTCGAATATTTACAAACCCTTATTAGTGGAAAAAGAAAATAAATCACCAAAATAATTGGCACTTGCTTTGAATGAGGATCATGAAACTCTAGTTATTTAATTCACAGCAGGCATGGAAGCAGCTCACTGCAGAACAGCAGTACGATTCCCCCCCCTGCCCAGCTCCAAAGCCAGCTGATATTGATTCAAAATTTACCAGTGGGTAGCTTCCAAAAGCCAAACAAGTTAAAGATAATACCAATGAGCTAATAATATCACTACAACTAGAACATAAAGGCTGTGGCCCTGATTTTTAGAGGTATTTAGATATTGCTCCACTCAGCACTGCAATGTCTAACTGACTTAGGAACCTAAGCCCCTTTCAGTGGGATTTAGACTCCTAAGTGCCCAACTGACTTTGGAAAATGATTCTTAGGACTTGTCTACACTGCTCCCCAGTTCAGACAATGGAGGTGTGAATAGCAGCATGCACCTAAGTGATGTGTTGTCACTCCACTAACAGTGCTGCGGATGCAAACTAAAAGGTTCACTGTTCACGTTAACATAGCATTCTTCAAACAGGACTACATTAATTTGAACTAGGAACCTTTTACTACACGCCCGCAGCATCCACACAGGACGTTACTGAGCAGCACCTTGGCGCGTACTGCTGTTCACATCCTCGTAGTCCAGACTGTTTGGTAGTGTAGCCATAGCCTTAGTCATAGGCTCCATAACGGCTGATAAAATTTGTGGCACTGCTGAGCAGACCAATGCCTAAATATCTAAAAAATCTGGGCCAGAGCTCCTACTCCTTGCAGCATGGTTATCTTTAAATGTTGTACTTTTCCTCTCATCATGAGCTTTTCTTTTCAGTCTCGTGGCAAGAACTTGCTCTATTGTGAAGTCATGACAAAATATCAGCCATGTGGCACCACAACTCAATGCTGCTGCACCAGCCCCATTACACTGGGAGGCTTTAACAACCCATCAGTCAAGACAGCTGACAGGCCAACATCAGCATCATTCCTCTCCTGGAAAATCCGGAGCACAGGGAGTTCTAGCTAGTTCTGGTTTCTAGCTCAACCACACCACATCACAACCCCCTTTATAACATTAATATTTCTTAGTACTCCACCTCCATCGGGCAAGAAAGCAGCTTCATGCAGAAAGAGCACTGTGACATAAAACTGGGCCCAGGAGGCAGCTCCAGTGCAATTCAGGAAAATGACTGTCTGGAAGAGAGATTTGCATTGTCAGGTTGTTTGCTGTAATTCTGCATTGGGTTGCGGTGAGGAGAGATGAACGCTAACTGCAGCCAAGGCCAGAGTTGAATCCGTGCCACCTGGGCTTCTTTCTGCATAAGCAGGGATTCAGCTCAGGATGAGGGTTATTCAAGGTTGGCTTCCCACCCTTTCAACCCCCTCACACATATATACACACACCATCCCTGTTCTGCACTAAGGTGAGAGCCTACAACCAGCCTACACCCGCTGACAAGTAGGGCTGATGCTTGTCAATGAAATTATTATACCATTTCAGGTACAGGAAAGAAGTCATGCGCTTGGTGTATCTTCCACTCCATCTAGCTACTGACACTGTGCCCATCACTGTGGTATCTGAGCACCAACGTGGTACCTATGTGAAGACAGTGTTACCTCTGCAAAACTTCTAGCTCCCACAAGCTTAAAATAAAGGAGTCCAGAAGTTGCTTCTGTGTTCAGATCACTGTGCAGTAACTTGTTACTCTAGGTGGTCCACCTAGGTATGGTATTTTGGTTCTGATTTAGTTTCACTATTGTGAGTTAGCTATACAGTGAAACATAGATAAGAGAGCAGATACTGTAGAAGGCTGAGTAACTTATTACCACCATCACTTTATTGCTGAGAGTTCTATAGGACCATGTCATTTTCTGCATAACATCTAAAGGTGCCTTGTGAAACCAACAAACAATAAGGACTTTATTCGGTGTTCCTGATATTACATTTTCCTATTTTTGTCCCCTGCAAAATGTGTTGTACTAGAGACAACATCCCATTTCATACTGTAGAAAACCAGTTCAAGACAGTCTGTTTATTCAGTTTGCAGAACATAGCAAAGGAATGATTCTGATAATTTGACACCACTGTTTTTAAGGGTTTTTGCCAAATTCTGGTCCATTTCCCAGAGCTGTGAAATAGATTAATTAATTTAGAACATTTCAAGTTAGTTTTCTGGAATGCTGCAACATTGTGCATGGCATTGGTATCGTTTCAAGTGGTATAACATCAATTAAATACATCTGAGTTAAATGCGTTGGGAATTAAATCTCCCAGCTCTGATCTTGGAGGCTGCTTTATAATTTGGAGTTGTAACAACTTTTTACAGTTCAATCCCCCCTTCCTCTCACGAGTCTGAACTCAATTAGAACCAGCCTGAAAAATTAACATACATGAGATTTAAATCAAAATTTACAAACCAGCAATAATGTTATTTGGTTTTTCATTGTTATAAATCCTCTAAATTCAGTTTAAATAAACACCATGTACGGGGTCCATAAACACGGTTAACAATATAAACAGCATTTAACAAGAATGCAAGATGTTCAATTTTATAAAAATTACATCTGCAAGTTGTTAAAGGGGAATCTACAGGAAACAAGTCAAACAATGCTGTTCATTGTGCACGCCATTGAAATAACAAGACATGCATCTGGAGTCAGTTACTGGCATAGCACTCAAATAAAGTATTGCATTGCATTTAATAAAGTAAACATTATTAATCAAGAGGTGGATGTAACAGTGTGCCATCCAGTTGGTGTTTTTAATTACCTTCTTGAGAGATGACAATGAACTTTGATGATTTGATGGCTTTGCCGTCTAGAGTCCAGGTGACAGCTGCAGGGGGATCAGAGGAAATCCGACATTGTAACACTAATTTTTCACCATCCATTACATGAGTATCCTGGAGCTTCTCTGTAAATGATGGTGCCATTCCTTTGCTGTCGACTTTCTTCTCAATTATTCCACCATCTACCATTGAGCACCCATGTGCACAGTTTGTGTCATTCTTCTCCTCCTCTTTCACCTCTGGTTTGGCATGCTGAGCTTCAGAGTTGGTCCTGGCATTCTGAGCCACAGAATTGGTGCTGGTGTTCCGAGCTTGGGCATTAGTGCTGCCATTCTCAGCTGGTGGCTTCTTCTTAGAGCCAAGCACAGATCTGAAATCTGGGGTGGCTGGTTTAGGGGGTGGCACCTTCTCTGGCAAGGAGACTTTGGGGGTGCCCTTCTTGGCCAGCACCGCACGGAAGTCCACCTGTTGAGGGCTGTGAACTTTCCTTTCCTCCTCCGACAAGGTCTTGGGCTTGACCTGCCGCTGCAGGTTAGCGCGGAAGTCCATTTGCTCAGCTGGGATTTCTTTCAGCTCCTCCTCAGAAAAGCTTTTAGTGTTGACTTTCTTCCCCAAAATGTCACGGAAATCAAGCTGCTCTGCTTCCTGCTGTCGAAGCCTCTCTTCTGTATGCTCCCGGGTTTCCACTCGTCTTTTGAGTACCCCTCGAACGTCTTCCTGCTCCTCCTCAGCTGGTCTGGTGTCACCACCACTCTTTCTGAAGCCACCAATTCTGCAGAAAGTTAGTACACCATGATCACCACCATCTCTTCGTTCTCCAGAGCTGGCTGGTTCCCTACCACTGTGATCAGCAAAAGAAAAAAGAAAGACAGCCAGGAAAGGGGCTGGTTTAAAATGTCAGGAAACAATCTCAGAGCAAGGATGAAATGTGTTTATAGAAGGGAAGTTTGATTAGAGGAACACACTCCATTAGTTTATTGCATCAGTGATGACTTCAGGAGCCATATATGGGCACAAACAAAAAAAGATTTCTACACTGGCTTGGTACAATATGCTTCAACTGTATGATGAAAACAATTTGTTGGGTCACATTTGGGGATTAGGCTGAAATGAAGCCAGCCTGGGTCTGGAAGGGCAGAGAATTAGCATAGCAAAAATAGACAAAATCCACCCATGCAAGTCCCTGGGAACTGTACTCACTCTCTGTGCATTTCTCCTCCGGAAACTGAACTCTCTCTCAGCATCAGAGACACCTGGCAGCTGCATTCTCCAACTTGGTTCCTGAAAAGTTTAAGGGAAATCGGAAGAGAAGGATATTCCTCACCCCCACCAGAACAATATGCCTGAGCTAAATTGCTTTGCGTTCCACTAAAATACATCAAAACCAGTGTGTCCCTCTCCTTTTCTGAGCTCAGTATCCTGGTGGATGGCTAAGTTGGTTAGGTTACTATGTGTTTGGATGAATGGTATCTCCAAAAGCTGTTGCTAATTGGCTGTTACTTGCATTATGGAATGAACAAACACTCCCACCCACCTTCTTAAACCAAAACCAAAGCACACTTAAAGAATGAAACAGCCCCACACAAACAAGCTAAAGAAAAACAAATACAAAAGCTGGAAAATCTAGGCAGAGGAAGAGGCTATTTTGCAATGTTTAAAATCTTTCCAACTCTGCCCTAATGTTTATATGTTCAGATCCAAGCTTTTAACTTTCCGAACACTAAGAGAGTAAAAGCAGGGTCTCATTCCCCCTTGCCCCTCCCCAACCAACCAATCCGCACACCCAATCCACATGGATTGCTCCAGCCTGTACATGTTTATATTAAAAAACATAAAAGTGTCACCATATATGGTGCTGAGCCTTTATTCTTCCTTTTGCAGAGGAATGCCACAGATGCCTTTTGTAAATGGCTCCCATTAAAGAAGTCATTAGAGTGCTTCCCTTCCCCCACTATGCTTCTCCAGCAGACCTAATATTCTCCTAGCTGCAAATTGCTCATCTCCACTTAACTGGAGACTCCAAGTGCTGAAGTTCACGTCCCTGGCAATAGTACAGTCATCCTGACTGCACCTTGTGTTGGCATTTAAAAAAATACCAAAACACAAAATTGACCCCTTTCCAATGATTAAAGACCATGGAGATATTTTACTGGTGGGTGGATTTTTGGTCCTTTCCAGTCTAGGCACAAACTCCCAACTATACTGGAAACTCCTGGATGGATTTATTTTTAAACAAAGATGATATATATCTCTGGAAACATTCTCAGGACATGTGCATGTGAACGTAGAGGTTTTTTCCCAGCTCTTCCCTTTTCAAAAGGCTTTTACTGAGTAAGACCACCACAGAACCCCTTTTGGCCCATTATGCACTGAAATTTTAAATATGGATTTTAAAGTAGTTTCTGCTAGCTCAGGTTAAACAGAGTTTGCCTGGCCAATTTTTCAACAGTACTAGAAAACGTTTTCCTAGACAGGCCCTGTTTATATGAACACCCTTTAGAACAGAGGTGGGCAAACTACTGTCCTGCCCGGCCCTTGAGCTCCCAGCCTGGGAGGCTAGCCCCCGGCCCCTCCCTCGCTGTTCCCCTCCCCCGCCGCCAGCGCTCTGGCCTGCTGCTCTTGCTGGGCAGCACGGTGGAGTGGCTGGCTCCGGCATGGTAAGGGGGCGGGGAGCGGGGGGTCCCAGGGGGCAGTCAGGAAGCAGAGGGTGGTTGGATGGAGTGGAGGTTCTGCGGGGTGGGGCACTCAGGGGACAGGAAGTGGTTGGATAGGCGTGGGAGTCCTGGGGGCCTGTCAGGGATCGGGGGTGTGGATAGCGGTCGGGGCAGTCAGGGGACAGGGAGAAGGGGGGGGTTGGATAGGGGGTGGGGTCCCGGGGGGGGCAGTTAGGGGCAGGGGTCCCAGGAGGGGGTGGTCAGGGAGCAAGGAGTAGGTGGGGTTGGATGGGTCAGGGATTCTGAGGGGGGCAGTCAGGAGGCGGGAAGTGGGAGGGGGCAGATAAGGGGCGGGGGCCAGGCTGTTTGGGGAGGCACAGCCTTCCCTACTTGGCCCTCCATATGGTTTTGCAATCCCGATGTGGCTCTTGGGCCAAAACCCCCTGATTTATAACATACTATGGTATTCAACACCAATGGTCCAAGTCTCTGTGACTTAGCACAGTATGACATAGTGGTTAGAATCAATTCAGAAGATCCAGCAGGAGGCTATATTTTTATAATGGTAATTATAAAATTATAATGGTTACCATCACCATCATGCAGCTTTTTTGTTACTAATTTGCCTTTGGTTATTTAAGAAAGAAAAGAAAATGTAGTTTTTAGTAACCAGGCAATGGGGTGCTTACAAATAATTCAACCCCCCAACACAGCACTGTCCACTGACAGGAATGACCTTATTTCACAGAGGTCACCCCCAAATGGAATGGCGTTGTAAGCCACCAAGAACAAGCCAGGAGCCACGACACCAAACACAAAATCCTCCGTCCAAGAACTCTGCCCATGACCACAACTCATCATGGAACACTGACTGCAATCCAGACCAGTACAACAGACTCTGACCCCTGGCCCCTCCTGGATGTAAGGGACGAGAGAACACCTGTGGCCCTAGCGAATAGATACTGTGTGAACCTCCCCTGATGAAAGATCTGCCACCCGCTCTAAAACATAGTCCAATCCATGGGCGGCGGGTATAAGAGGCTAAGCCTCCCCAAACAGCTGGCCTGCCACCTTTGGAGCACAGCACCGCTGAAAGGGTGCCTGGGCCATGGCCCGGCCCGCACTCTGCCCCCACGGCCCCATTCGTCCTCTTCACCCTGAGGGCCTGCCCTCACTCTGCCTTTTCCAGTCCCTGCTCCCCCACCTTACGGGAGGGGGTGAAGAGGCACGTGCAAGCGGTAAGCAGCCAGTCAGCTGGCGCGGGTGACCCTTCGGGAGAGGGGGTGAAGACACGTGATAACGGACGGGGGAGCCTTGGGGGTAGGGTTGCCAACTTTCTAATCACACAAAACTGAACACCCCTGCCCCGCCCCCGTTTGCTCCATCTCCCCTCCCGCCATAGCTCGCTCTTCTCCACCCTCACTCACTTTCACTGGGCTGGGACAGGGGGTTGGGGTGCAGAAGTGGGGGTGAGGTCTCTGTGGTGGGGCCAGGGATGAGGAGTTTGGAGTGCAGGAGAGGGCTCCAGGCTGGGGCAGGAGGTTGGGGTACAGGGGCTCTGGGCTGGGGGTGCCGGCTCCAGTGGGGCCAGAAATGAGCGGTTTGGGCTGCAGGAGGAGGCTCTGGGCTGGGACGGGGGTTGGGCGGGGGGAGTTTGGGGTCCTGGTGACGCTTATGGCAGCTCCCAGGAAGTGGCCACCAGGTCCCTGAAGCCCCTAAGCACATGGGCGGCCAGGGAGGCTCTATGTGCTGCCCTTGCGCCTGCAGGCACTGCCCCATAGCTCCCACTGATCGCGGTTCCCGGTCAATGGGAGCTGCAGAGCTGGCGCTGGGGGTGGAGGCAGCGCACAGAGATTCCCTGGCCACCCGTGCACCTAGGGGCTGCAGGATCCTGGCGGACACTTCCAGGACTCACAGGGAGCCTGCCTTAGCCCCGGGGCCCCTGCTGCACAGCCTACCAGACTTTTAACAGCCTGGTCAGTAGTACCAACCGGAGCCGCAAGGGTCCCTTTTCAACTGGGCGTTCCGGTCAAAAACCGGACCTCTGGCAACCCTACTTGGGGGAAGGAGTGGATAAGGAGAGGGCCTTGGGGGAAGAGGCCGGGTGGGGAGCCTGGGTGGGGCTTCAGGGGGAGGAGGCCGAGCAGAGGCAGGCCTCCAGGTGGGGCCATGGTCCAAGCCTGCCCAGCCTCCCCAAATGGAGGAGTCACAAGCCTCCCATGTTCCAATCAATCCTAAAGAAACCACTGCTTGATACTAGAGACCTTTTAAACTGCTTCCTAGTGGCCAGTCTTCCTCTGGAAGCAAGCGAATTAAGAAAACAGGAGAACAGCAACAGTCTCCAACATTACGTGTTAAGCTGCTAGTATACTGGATTCCTCTCAGCCAGGCTTCAAGCCAGGCATGGTATTGGGACAGCACTTGTTGCACTGGTGGATGAAGCCCTCCTGTTGTTCTCAGCCTAGGGATGCTACTTCTGTGCTCATCTTAATGGACCTTTTTGCAACATCTGATACCCAAATAATATTCCTTTCCCACCTCCAAGAAGCTTTCAGCATGAATGGAAACACTCTGAAATGTTGCAGATCCTTCCTTCAGACCAGTGCCAGAGGAACCATGGAAGTCACTCCCACATGAGATAAATGACCATGGACCTCACCATTTTCATTACTGAATGCAGAACCCATTCATTACTGCAGCTTAGCTTTCCTTCTACAAGTTCTTCACACATGCAAAATAAACAAAGTAAAGAAAAAGTCCTATAAACTACCCAGCTATTTCTCCTACAGTCTGGGAATGGAGGAAAAAAAAAAAAAAGAAGAAGAAGAGAGATTTCTATTCCAATTTCTATTTTTAAATACTTGGGAAGTGTTTGGATACTATGGTGATAGTGGGCCACATAAGTAGCTAGATAGATAAAACCATCCTGAGGCAGTTTCCTAAATCCTTTTTTTATGATCTGCAGGTTCTAGCAAATGCCTGGGATTTGGGACCACTGGCTTCACGCCTTGACTCTGCCACTGCTTCACTGTGTCCTTGTCAAATCGCTTTAATTCTCGGAGTTAAATCCTGGCTCCAGTGAAATTTATGTGCTTTTTACCACTGATTTCAATGGGGGCAGGATTTTACCTTTGTGCTTTAACTTCACCATCTATAAAATGGGGATAATATGACTTACTCACCTTTGCAAAGTGCTTTGAGATCTTCAGATTAATACGGTGATAGAAGTGCAAAGAATTATTATTATTTAGGAGGGACTGGATGGCTCAGAGGATTAGTAGGAGGATACTAAGCATTTCACATGCAGGATGCTGGTTTGACTCCAAGCTAGGTTGATAGTGGCATATATATATGTATTTTTGGCATTCCTGCAACTTATTTTATATATATAAAAACTCTCTCATGTTGGGATCTTATATGCTAAACAGCAGACAGAGGCAGATTTCAACAGCTAAGTTACCAAAACCCTCCTAATGCTGGAATTATGTATAGGTCCCTAACTGTAGCTGAGTTTAATGGTTGCACTATAAAGAACCGTGTTGGAAGTGTTGGACTCTGTAGAATTGCTTTGCAGAACACTATTACACAGGACTTATCTTTAAAATGACAAAGAATTTAAAAAACAAA